ACGCAAATTTTTATTTCACAAACAACCTTTGGTAATATTTGTTAATTTGTCAACACTTTTGCGTAACACATGAATAAAATAACAGTTTTAAACCAGACATTCGTATCATCATATGGCAACGAATCTTAATGCAAATACATAGTTCTCTTAATACATTTTTAAACGACACAATTTAGTTTCAACATTTCACGATTGAGAAATATACTGTTTACAAATATTCTATACCGTACATTTCTATATGAAACAAAAAAAAATATCTTAATGGGAGTTGCATGTCGAGTGAAAAGTTTTATTACAGAACTGTCGGCTAATCGCCCATCGATGTCGTAATCGACAGCTGAACGACGACCTTTTGATGTACATACTTTGTTTCACGAAAATAAATCGAATAAAGCTATTATCCAGGAAATGAATCCGACTTCATTAATTTGGCAATGAAATAATTAATGATTTTAATCCAGTATTATATTGTATGTCGATAAGACGGAATATAGTTGAACTGTACTAAAATTTTAAATGGACAACAACTTTGTAACCTGTATTCGCAATAAAGATGATTTGATTCGAAACATTATCGAGTGAGTTTCAGCGTTGTGTGCAAGAAGCTATTGCCTTTTATTATACACTCTTACATTCCACCTATGCCTTCAGCTTAAAGCTACAAGACAGCCAAAGGGTGGCCCCGGCGCTTTTTTTAAGCAGGGCCTAAGTTTCCTAGAAGGGTACCCAGAAAATTTAATTTTACACTATGTACGCTGTAATGACGAATATTAAAAATAATAAAATTCAAAGCCCCCGTTTGTATTTAAAAAAAAACTATTTTTCTACTTTTTCTGCCAGAGTAACATTAACTTACATTTTTTTTGTATGCTGTTGGTCGCAGATAACCTTTACAGCGTCCCCGGGTTTGGGGACGGCGAGATCCTAAGGGGATCTCAAGACCTCAACTAACAATGTATAGTTTGCCTGCCCTGCATTATCTCTTTCAAATCTCTTAAAATAACCATACACGAAATGAAGTACTGTTTGTAATTGAGGAGTTCAATTGTTTTCTCCGAAAGTACTACTCCTATCTTCACCAAACTCAATCCATTACAGCCATTCCATCTCGCCAAAAAACTGCGTCAAACAAAAACATATCGAAATCGGTCCACGCGTCTCGAAGTTAAGCGCGAACAAGTACAAAAAAATATACTGACAAATTGAAAACACAGTATATATATATATAGTATAAACATACTATATATATATAGTACTTCTTGAAGTCGGTTAAAATATGTGAAAACTCTTCCCAATAAATCTTTGATCAGAAAAATCTTAGAGGAATCAAGTGCCATCAGGAACAGGACCTGAGTACTTACGCGATAACAGCAGCTACGGATTAGGTTTTTATGAAATCATTGGTTTGGTAAATCAACCGAAAAGGGATTTAAGAAACGTGAATGTTTTTGCTCGGCCTAGTGTTCAATCTTTTACAATGGTACGAAATCCTTTGTGTCCAACAGTTTTTGTTTATAAACGTAATGTTCTTGGCGAAAGTTTGTATAAAATGGAAAATTTCGTAACATTAATCATAAAAATATAATCATTTACATATTTATATTTCAAATAAATAACCAAACGCAATATGTATCGGTACTAACTGTCTATTGTACGGTACTGTACCTTTTTTTTTATGACGCAGGTTAAAAATACTGTTAAATACTGTTCGGCGGTGTAATACACACCGCCGAACGGACCTCACACCTGGCTCCCGCAAGTCTTGCCGACACCCCAGTGGCTGCCCACCGAGGACCCTGCAACTCTTACGGGCGCTTTACGGCATAATATCCGCTAAAAAAGTATACCTTCCACACTGCTTAATGCGGAGCCGCGGGGTCTCCGTTTAGGGATTCTACCACGACTCCGCACCCAGCAGCTTCCCGGCCTCGCCGGGGCTCCACGGCAGGGGTCTGCCGAGGTATTGCGGGGACCCCGCAGACGTGCGCAGGATGGCCCGCGCATGGGGGTTAAGTACGAGGCCTAGTGCCCACCGTACCGCCCCCCGTCCGCTGCGGAGGGCTTCTTGGGCGTACTCGTCCAAGCAACCCTCCACCGCCCCCCTTTGTAGGACAAAACTACAAGAGGGGGCCACCGTTCCTGGGAGGGGGGAGCGGGAGGGGAAGCGTACTTCTTCCCGTCCCTCTCCCCTCTCCCTGTCACCCACGTCTCCTCGTCCCTTCTCCTAGAAGAAGAGGGGGGAAACGCGGCCGAAGCATTCTTGGGGGGTCCAAGAACCCGAGGCTACTCGGACATGCCCCCCTCTGAGGGTACCCGTCCGGGTGCCGACGACTCAGAGGCCATTCTTTCGGGGGGTTTACCCTTAGTGACCGGCGGGTCACACTTCCCCCTCCCCATAACGTGGTCAGCCGGTCGACCACTCGTACGGTACTGTACCTGCTGTAAGCGTGCAGGTCTATTAAATTCGTATAGAGAATATCTCCAAAGAAAAATTTTCAAACTATTATTGTTTGAAAAATTTTAAGTAAATCGTGCTTCTCCACCTTTTAAAGTCTTTTATAATAAAATAATTATCAAAAGGATACTATCACATGCGTCTTGTGGTGTGTTTTTGTTTAGATTTTGAACTAACATGTTTTGCTAACAAGTTTCAATTAAGCATTTGTTATTGTTTTTATTCAACAACGAGCTTTAACAAGGATATTTAAAACTTATTTTCAATTAAGTAAATAACAAAATGACGTAAGAGACACTGAATTCGTGTGAAACTGTATTTGCAAAGCGGCAATTTTTACACAACCCAAAAATTTTGGATTCAGGCAACGGTATAATAGGCATATTATATCTTAGGTATTTTCTAATTTCTGAAACATGCCTTCCAGCATAGTAGAATTTGGGGAGAAAAACTTGACTGCCAACAAGATGTACCTACGTCAAAGCTTAATATTTTTTTCTACAACTACAAATAAATTCAAGATACGACGGTATAAAATATTCTCGTTTCAGAAAAAACCATTTCGCAAGCAGTGAAGGTGGGACGACGATTTGAATTTTTTTTAATAAAAGAGTATGTAAACAGAAAAGCTTGCTTTTTCCAATATATTATTGTTTATACCACTTTGTCAACGAGATCACGTAACTATTTTATTTTTCAATCTTGGAACACTTAAGTGTCATCTTAAACGCCCGTGTTTCATAGTTATATAACAATGTTCAAACTCGAACTCAGGCTAATTTATTCAGTTTGGGCTGTTATAAATTACATGACCACCTGAGATTCTGCCAATCTGAGAATCTGTCCACTTGCTACGAAGGGAATGTCTAGAAGCTACGCCATCGGTTCGTAAATCTACCGGCGGGAAACTTTATACTAAGAAGAGCCGGCAAGAAACTCGGCAAGGGCCAATATATTATTTCTATATCATTGGCTAGGGCTGTTTTTTCTCCCTGTATTATTTACAAAGTCGTCAAGTTGAATAATGACTATAGATTCATGAAGTCACCTTTTTATTACATAATGTGAAACATACATAATTTATAAGCCTGCATTTTTATTTTCATGCAGTATAAATAGAAATATGCGACATATATATTTATTTTCTACATAAACAACTAATCACCATGTTGTTTCTTAAAATACCGGTTTTTCTTTAATTTCGGTATGACCGTTAATATTTAGATTTTCGTTAACCTTCGATTCTTTTTAATCATTCATCATTTCTAAGGGGACTAATTGAGAGCATGACGAAATGCCATACTTTTTCTGATTTTATTAAACATACAATGAAATCCAAGACAGACATATTGTTAAGAATTACAAATATTTTTCCGATAATAATAGCGGAAACGCGACCGATAATCTCATTATTTTAAGTTCCTCTGTGCTTCTGAAAGATTGTTTTTCTTATAATATAAAATAAAGGTCGCAACCGCTACTGAGTCTGGACGGGATTCGAACCCGCCATCTCTGCTTAACATCGATGGGATAGGTTGCCAATTGTTGAGTCGCAAATTTGTCTCAGTATATTGCCTTTTAGCCAACCCTTACATTTTATAAGTATTTTAATGGTATCCTATCTTCCTAAGTGTTTTTAACGCTGAAATGCAATAACATTTTATAATCTTGTTTTGAACGATAATGTTTGTAGTCTCTGCTAAAATCACCTGAAAAGTTTTACAAAGATACTAAAAAATCACTCACCCCCTTACTAATAAACAAGGAATAAGTTTAGACTAGTTACGCTGTGTTTTGTTCAGGTCTAGGTTAAAACTAAGGCTCCCAGCCTTAGATAGAGTTTTGAAGAGAACCTTGCACTTACTCCCATTCATATACTTGTTCATTTTGATTTGAAAATTGTTTCTTGCTATTTTGGGACTTTTCTTTGCACTTATTGTTATTAAATTCGTTGATTGTCTATTGTTACATATTTGACATTATGTGATGGAAGTTGAACGCAACACATGTTTGCAAGTTTGATGTCAACTTTTAATTGGACGGCACTGTATGAAATAAAACAGGGAGAAAAAATCAGCCCTTGCTGATGGCGTAGCTTTTCGACATTCACAAGTGCTTGTAACAGCCTAGACTGAATAAACGATATGGTTTTTTTTTTGAAATTTTGGTCACTCAAATGCTATTTGTAATAAAATTCTAGAAATGGGATCACTAATCTAAGCGTAGTCTTCGTTTATTAATAAGGGGTGTTTATTTATTGTTACAGTAAATGCCTGCTAAAAACTAAAAAATACATAATAACACTATAAATTATTATAAAAATATTCAATCTTCATGAATTTTTTCACTTTAAATAATACGTTCAAAATATTTTAAAAATAATAAAATAAAACACATAATTGATAACTGTTCTAGCATATTTTTTTTCTGTATAACTAATACTAGTAACTGTTAGGTCATACAGTCATGTTCATGTATCTATATAATTATGTTATTATTATGTATGAGCTATATTAGTGTTCCATGGTACACATTAAGCACTCACCAAGAAGGAAGATGCACACAGCTAAAATGTTTTGCTTCCAAAAATACATTTCTAACGTCAAACAGTTTCAAGACGATGATAATCAGCACACAATCACCATTTTAAAAACAACACTATATCCATCACATTTTATAATAATAACAGTAAAAAAATTGATTTATAACTACACTCTAAAGTCATCGCTGATGCTTCCTTATCGCAAGGATCAATTCTAATGACAATAACGCGCGAAGCAAACTTTATCTCTATAAAGAGTTTATTGATCAATGTTATTTCTATTAGATTATTTTTCGCGATATTCTTGACAGAACATGTGGTGTTCGATCTATCGATACGTGTTGTCTGAACAAAGTTTGGAATACGACTGAACGCTAAGTTTCCTTCTGAGTTGACTCGACCGATGATTTCAGGAATGTCCGTGCGAATTACAAAGATGCCGCAATCAATAATAATTGATACAGGATGTCAGAGTAAAGGCATCTAAGCACCTTAAGATTTAGATACTCCTCCTATATACGTATGTAAAAAATAACACTTTTGAAGCGTAAAGTATTTGTTTTGTTTTTGTACATGCGTCACTGTATTCTCGCGTCATTATGTTCGCGTCAAAATTATTGAGTAAGACATTCATAACTTAACATAATGAGGTTGTTGCTGTACGTATTGAACTTATAATAAATAATCGAACTCGAAAATGGTATTTTATTCTAAATTGCAAAATAAAAAATAATAAAATGACTGTTATTTATATGAATATAATATAATTAGGTAGACACCTAGATATTTTTGTCAATAGAAAAGTGTAAATTTTTGAGTACTAATGCTTTTACAGTCATTGTGACACTTGGCCGTAAAGACAATATATTGAAGCTCGACAAAGATATTTTATTTTACAGGGCCTTACGGGCTAATATGGTAGATTGGTTGGGGTGAAGATACCTGGGCTGCCGTCCTCAAGCTAAAACGCAGCTAAATGACAGAACCAACTTTTGAGATATGGCCAAAAAACGGCTCGTAAACTTAAAATTATTGCTATTTTGTAACCATTCAGGATTTTAAGACTTAAAATATAAAAGATACGAATACTTGTTAAAGACAGATCGATAGAGTATTAAAAACTGTATAAGATGCAATTTAGGGCTGAAAAATCGAGCACATGTTACTTAACCGCACTTTAGTTTGAGGACGGCAGTGGGTGAGTCTGGCAACGGACAATCACTTGGAGCTCTATTTTTGAATCACTCGTCTTGCGTCGAACGCTCGATTTCTACTAAATTTCATTCGACATAATTAATTCCGTATTTTTGAATCGCTCGAGTGCAACGAATAGGTGAGACCACTCGCTGCATGTCGAATGGTGGAGGCGAATGATAGAATAATTGTAAAACTTTTTGTGCTATTAGACGACGACGAGAAACGACAACGAGAATTTTTTGTTCGGTTTCCATTGCGGCAATTACCGGTTTTTATTATTTCTGCGTGAAATGAGTAAAATTTTACATTTCGTATTAAACAGGTAACACCGGTGACGAATGTTTCAAAAATACGGAAAATCAGTATTATGCGACTTGAAAGTCGAAGGTGACTTATGTCGCATTCGACGATACTATGTCAGACGAGTGATTCAAAAATAGGGCTCCTGGCGGGTGTGCAGCCAGCCGGAGACGGTTTCTGGAACGTTACTCGCAGTCCCGATACGCATTAGGGGCACCGCGGTCCGAATGCGGGTAGGGTATAGAGATACGTTGCTCTATGGCAGTGTTTCCTAACCTTTGCAATACTGCTACCCCTGTAACCTATTAGGAAAACAGATTTTACCCCCACTTTAAAAAGTTATCATCAGTCCAAGAAATTCCAATTTGGCCGCTACATTTTCGTTTCTAATAATGTCATCAGGAGAAAATCTCGCCCCGCTTCCCACACTCAGCACCCCGCCGGCTCGCTAGCAAGAAGGAGCGCATTTAGTAGTATTATTATATAGTATTTTCTTTCTTCTTTCTTTGTCTTTCTTCTTTTTCTAGTTATATTTTCTTTAGATTTAAACATCAAGCAGTTACATGCTTTAAAAATAATAAAAATTATAACTATAATTGCTATTTCTTCTTTCAAATGTTTAATACTTGTAAAAGTATTCATTTGACATTGTGGGTTTACCTATAATGCGAAGAGATGGCGCTGCCTTGCAGCTTAAGAATAGCTAGAAAGAATTTCGACGCGGTCCGTGAGGGCCGCGGTAGCATAATTGGTCAGTGCATTCGCCCGGATTGCGAAGGGTGCGGGTTCGAGTCCCGTCTGCTGCCTGGTCCGCGTGGAATTTTTTCTAGTTATATTTTCTTTAGATTTAAACATCAAGCAGTTACATGCTTTAAAAATAATAAAAATTATAGTATTTTCTTTTTATTTAGATTTAACCAAATAATTAGGTTCTTTGTTACCCCCGAATTATGGCTGATTTACCCCCGGAGGGGTAATTACCCCCAGGTTCGGAACCCGGGCTCTATGGAGTCAAGTGACCGGTACCCATAGCACGAACCAATATCGAATTCGTAACGTTTGCGAGTCCGAAATGTCATTGTCAAATTTTGTATGGAATCTTGAACAGCAGCGCCACAACGGACGTAACGAGAAGTAAAAATCAGTACATATTTGACAATGACATTTCGGATTCGCAAACTATTCGAATTCGATATTGGTTCGTGCTAAGGCTACGGTGCAGGAGTATTATTAACGAATCATGATTGTATGTATAGTGTATTTGTTTACAAATAAATATCATTATCTGTTTTTTACCAGATTACTGGGTAGGGCCCGATTACGATTTAGTTTTGTTATTTCTAGCCGCCTGAGGTTTTCAAATTCCTCGCGCTCTTTTTTTTCTTTTGCCTTGGTAATAACAGTATTAAAGAAAATGAGCGTAAGGTATTTGAAAACCTTCGGCGGTCAGAAATAACAAAATGAAATCGAAAGCGTTAGCGTTTTCTAAAGCATTTCCGTTCGGCGAATGGCCCCCAGGTCGTTTCATCCAGCCATGTGGCTGGATCAAAAGGGAGGAACCTTCAGATGCCCTGTACTCGCTACTCCCGGTGGTCTAACGAAGCGTTAGGCCTTTTCAAGATATAAAACCCGGACAAGTGCGAGGCGGGCTTGCCCCCCGAGGGTTCCGTACAAAATTGTAGCAGGGTACACAACATAAACAACTGTATCTTTTTTTTATGCTTACTTAAAATTCTGGTTTTATCACAGCTTTAAGGGACCGTATATGGACTTGAGTTCCCGAGATAAAGGATCTTGACTGACAGACGGATAAACGACCGTAGAAGTTTGGTTTTCGCAGCTTTAAGTGGCCACAGACTTGAGTTTAAGGTCAAATTTTGAATCTATACATTCACGCGTTTCCGAGATAAAGGGTCTTGACAGACAGACGGACGACAAAGTGATCCTATAAGGGTTCTGTTTTTCCCTTTGGATACACAGAATCCTAAAAAAAGCGTGAAGATTTCTGGAGTGACACATTTTGCTGCCGCAAAAAGAGTACATGGCAATATAATATTTATAAATGAGGGCAATGTGCGAATTATACAATTATATTGTGATTATGAGTCGTTATACTAATATAATATAACTATAACGACTCATAATCACAAGAGTAATATAAACAAAGCCAGCCGCTTATCATTAAGATGGGCCAAATACTTTGATTGATGAAGCAGATTTTTTTATAATAATCTAGCGAACCGAGTGACAAAGTCCTGCCCGCCGGATTAAAATATAAAAAAAAAAATGGTTGCCTGTAAAGTCGGTTTTACGGGCGAAGATTTTACGTGACAACGTCTTTTTCTCGGTAGAATATTTATTGATATGAATATAATTAAATTGCACAATAGGAACAAGGAATTGAATGAAAATAAGAATTGCACAAATTTTAACTATAGAAATATATTTTGTTTACTAAAACATTGTACATGTAAACTTAAACTCATCGTAACGTTACCGAGCGTTACACTTTTTCATAAGTGACTCCCAGCCGCAACCTAATTTAAGACGTTGTCACGTCAAAACGGTTAAATGCAAGTCGGACTCACCCACGAAGGGTTCAGTACCATTATCTATATAAGACAATATCTTTTAATGGAAATTGTAAAAGTAATTAAACCAATGTGTTGCTCTGAAAACAAAGAAACGACATTTAGTCTTTTACTTAATACAACAATTCCTTCCTTTACAATAATATTTTAAAATAATCAAATAAAAATATCACGGCTCGTTCTGTCAAAGCGACACCATCTGTCAAGTGACAGTTTTATTATTATGGTCGCCCGAGAGCTATACAAACTACTTAAGAAATAACAAATTAAAGAACTGACTGTAAAGAGGTTCTTTACATCTATATAACATTAAACACTATTGTTTGCGCGTTACAGCGACAAAGTGTCGGTTTTAAAATTAATGAAAATGGACTATAAAGGTATGCGGTTCAAAACTCGAAGTTAGAAATAGGATGCGGTGCGTGTGGTACAACAGAGGGTTAAAGGTTACCTGGCTCTCAATGCTGCTGCGACTGTAACTCAATCCTGGCGACCAGCGGCTGGGGCTAGTGGTCCGTTCCCCTTTTTCTTAGTACGCACTTGAAAACTTTGCTTTATAGTTACACACACAATCAATGCACTTATAAACAGTGGCGGCGCTAGGCGTCGGCGACGTCGGCCACCGCCGACGGCCTCGCGCCTGAGGCGGCCTCGCAAAAAATTTTTACTAGTTACCTATTTATTTTCGTTTCTCCTGGCCTGGCTTTGGTAGCCGACCCCGAACAATTCGAGGAAAAGCTAAGCAGATGATAATGACTTTTATTATTTTCGAACACGTGCGTGATGGAAGCGAGTAGTACTTTACGGGTATTCAGAATCGTCTGTCTGACAACACTATTTTAGTAATTAAATTTCTATGTTTGTAATTATTTTTTGTCATCATTTGATTATCAACAATAAAACTCGTTTACATTATTTTATTATTTGGCTCACTTAATTTAACGGATTTTACTGCGAATTAAAATAGGCCTCGCGAACTTGATGTCGCCGACCTCCATATATGGTCTAGCGCCGCCACTGCTTATAAACAGTAGTTAGTTCCTTTTATATTAAGTAATTAGAACTTGAAGCGATTTGCACGATTTTTCATCCTGTTCTGATTCTTTTACTCTCAAAATGTTATCGGCCCCGGGTTACAAGGGAAATATGGATTCATCAACTTAAACCGGTAATATATTTTTAACATCACCCTTAGTAAATAAAAATTCACATCACTTTTAAATCACAACAATGTTTAATGAAATCTCTTAGTGAGGTATTTGATCAACTCGTTTCTTGTCTATCAATTTATAACTATAGTGAATCATTAAGTTAATAAAATGAAGAACGCAGATTGTATATCAAGCGGTAGCCATTTTTTGTAACCTATTGCATTGAGTAATACCGTTTAAACGTATTGACGGGATTTGGCAGAGCCTCAAATATAGTTTTAAAATATAAGAAAGTTAAGGAATATGAATATATTTTAATAAGTGAAAGGCTGATTAATCACTAAATAACAGTAAATAAACATAATGAAATGTTGGCCACTTTCGCTGCCATCATCTACTTGGCCGTTTCTAGTCCCAAACTAAGAATCTTTACTATTATATAAAGAGAGAAAAGGATAGGCTGGCAGACTGACAGCCGAAACGGCTG